CTGTGTGTCATTTGCAGGAGCCTTTCAGGACTCCATCACAAATCTTCCCAAAGACGCTCCTATTGTTGCCACTGCAGCATTATGAGATTCTTTTGTATGTTTCTCTTTTCTCCCTGAGGACTGCACTCTATCCCAATAGCAGCATAGGTTGGCAGTGGTGGGATTTCTTTATTTAAGCTTCTTTTTTTTTTCTTTTTTTTTTTTTAACAAGGTAATTATGGAAATAATTCCTCTCTGGTTTGGTCTTTCTCTGCTGAGTACAGCCTGGGATTAATTGGTTGCATGAAGGACTGGCCATTTTTAAATCAAGAGGGGGGGGTCGAGGGAAGCTTGTCTTGTCATCTGAATTAGATTAAATTTAATCAAGGCATGGAGCCCCTGGCTACAGTGGTACGTTGAATAGTCTGTATGCTAGTATTGTTGTTTTTAGGTATTCAGCAATGTGTGTGAATAGCTACATCAGGCCTCCGGGGTCAGTTTGACAGAGGAAACAAGCAGCAGGGTCTCTAAAAGAAAAGAAAAACTACAATCACACATTGTCTCCTTTGGTTCGCTGCATGCTTCTTCTGACATGTTCCCTACAACAGAAATCAAAGTCATGAAACCAGTGTTGAATAAGATGCTTTTGATGCAGTGATTTTACAACTGTTACAACAGCACAAATATGCATAACATAAAAGCGTCAAAAAGAACATGGCATCATAATTCTTCTCCATTTCCTTGCCTGTGCTCCACCCTGCCTTTAGGTATTTTTTCTAATGGGATCAAAAATTAGAATGCAGTTGTGAAAGCCAACTGCACCAACTGAAAAAAGGCAATGTCCATTTCTAGCGAGGACCAGAGAGATGGACCAAACAATGTTTTGTTAGTTGGCCAATAAAAATGAGATTCCGCTATCATTCCTGAACTTTCTCTTTTAGACCTTCCAATCACTATTCTTTCACTGTTGTCTAAGTACCTCATGATGGACTTTTAACAGATTAGCAAATAGCATACATTTAATTTAACTAATTTACTGTAAAGTTTTAATTGTTTCAAACTTTTCCAAATTGCTCAGTAAAAATAAGCTCTAGATCAGACTTCAGACCAGAAGACCTAAGAGGTCTGGGCATTTGATAAAAAAGTCTGTGTTGTGTTTCGTGTTAAGTTATTCATTGACTTATACAACAACAAAATAATTTAAATACCATTCTATTAGATATGGGAAACCTGTTTAAGGAATTTAGAACTGGGGTGATATGTTCTATTTTCTTAGTTTTTGTGAGGACATGAGGAGCAGCATTCTGGATCAACTGTAGCTGTCTGATTGACCTTTAACCTCTTAACATCCACCTAATTTTAAATAATCCTTGCATTTTTGCATCACCAAATAGAAAAGCAAATAACTAAGGAAGTATAAGTCCTAATTACACATGTGATACAGATTTGTGAAGACACCAATGCAGTAGTCACTTCTATTAAAGATGAAAGAATGGTTTAGTTTTTCTACATCCGGTTTGGATTTTGGTTCTTTAATCCTTGAAATGCTCTCAGGTGGTACAGTAGACGGGTGGCTTTCTAACTATCTTTGAATTGCGTGTTAACTATAAATGTGTTAACATACTGAGGTGTCTTAACAGGTGCTGTCTGACATCTAGTTAAATAGCTTGACCATAGCAATATAGACAGCCCATACCATGCTTCTCACATTTTCCAGGTTGGAGGAATTCAAAGTGGTAAGTAGAACTACAGTTCTATTATGAGACTTTAGGGTAAGCTTAAAAAGCAATTAAAGTAGTGTATGAATGGCATATAGGGAGGATGGGCTTAAAAGTTTCTAAGTAATATTTTATATTTATGTGCCTTTTCAGAATTGATGTTAGAGGTGTTCTGAGGTCCGTTATTTGCAGTATTAGTATTTTTTTTCTTTTAGGTAGCTTAAAAAAAACAATACACTGCAGGATAAAGGGTAGTAGGACACATACTTTGTCGTTTTAAGAATATGATTACAGAAGGTCCTACTAATAATTTCAAAGTTACAGTTACACAACAGAGAAGCATTGCGCCTGGCCCAATAAAACCCTGTCTCTTTTTGATGCTTTCCTTTGTCTAATGTTTTGGTTGGTTGCAATTTCTCTTTTAATTCCGATTAAAATGTTCTTTCCTTAATCAAGCTACAAATCTTAGACATAATCCCGTCCAACTTGAGCTCCACAATCCCACTGCTACGTCTTAATTTCAGGAAGTGGGTAAATTATTCCACTGAGAAGTGGGGCATTCATTCAAGACTAAAGATATTTCTTGCATCCATGTTGACTATAAAACCTTTGATGGTTATTTATGAGGCTTCAACTTTAGGATTGCTGCATCCTTTTTTAAAGTCTATATATGATGTTGGGCTTTTCAGGGTCACTTAAATCTTTTTCTGGCCCCTTTTGCCTGAGTAAAAGAAGCTACCTAATAATTAGGAACACCTTTACATAGGGTGTTCATCTCCATAGGTTATTATCTGATACTGTAGGTGCTCAGCTATGTGGTTGTGCCACTTCAATAAATATGTTCTAGTTCTAATTCTTTTTTTTTCTTACTATAATCTTTCATGTTAAATATGTTAAAGACATAAACAGGGATCTGAACCACAATAAACTAATAAAAAAAAAAAAAGACAAAAAACCAGAGTTAGAAATTATTTGTTCACATGCAACCAAGATGGTTGGTGTGACATAGGGGACTGAGTTGTTTAATGTGCAAATTGACCTACAGCCCAATTAGGCCATTGTTTGAAAAAAAAAAAACATAAGAAAGTCAATGGTTTGTTAGATAAAAAAAGTGTACATATCCAGCCACTATGATCTGGGGCTTGAAATGTTGATCAGGTGATGATCTATGCCTATGTTAGAGCATTATTATGCTGTAGATCAGTTCAGAAAGGTGATAGCTAAGACTTGTTCAGAATAAGTGGTGGATGGATGGACGGACGGACGGATGGAGATTCTTTTCGCATATTTTGCCCCAAATCTTCTGGGGCGACCCTGGTGGCTGCTTTCTCCACTTTGAAAAGATCCACTTTAGGCAATCAGATCACTTATGTCCTGAATGCCATTTGGTCCATAGTAACTAGCTGTAAATCAATGTGAGAAACTCAATGATTTGGTCTAAATGTCTTAAAGTCACCAGACTGATTAGCCCATTAAAGTTGAAGTGTTGTTAAGAAAATTAACATCTTTTTAATGTGCTTTTCACGGTTAAATATGAGATTTATAAGAACGGACAGAATTTGACATTGGAGAAAATCTGACTATGGATTATAGGTTGTAGATTAAAGGTAATATAAAGTTTATAACAACAGAATTAAGCGTAGTTAAATTTTGCGCTAGGTGCCAGTAAAATGTTTTCAAATTTCAAGTGTGGGTAAAAAAAAAAGCTGCTTTTGGGGGAAAAATGGTTACATTTGTCATTTTCAACACATGTTGATGTGGTCTTCCATTAAACATGTGGCATCATAAAAACATGTCATTTTCTTATTTTAACAGTTTATATGTGTAATATATCATTTTTATGGAGGGGACTTTATGCAATTGATTCCAGTTGTAATACACAACAATAACACAGCCTCTATAAATTACAATTTATTATCACTATGGACCAGAATGAGTCACTGTGGTCTGTTTTGTTTTTGCTTTAGCTGCTCAGTCTTGCTTTGTAAATGTGGAACTGGTTCAAACGCCATCTTTTTCATAAGCCCATAAGTGCATCTGAGCATTGGCATACTTCAAAAAGCTGCAAAAAGGCTTCCTAGTTTTGCCATTTTTTTGCAGTTTGATCCCTCCAGATGGAAATGTTTTTCAAAGCATTGATTTAGACTTCAGATACCCAGTAATGGTCATTTCCTGGCAAGAATTCTGGGTAATATTCTCACATATCTGTTGACGGCTGGTACACAAAGACAGGTTTACGTTTTAGGCAGTGCATTTGAACTTTTAAGTAGCATCACAGAAGCCTGGGAGACGAAGCTTAGAAAGTATCCCTTTCAGTGTTTAAAGTTTCTTTAAGAGACATGCAGACATTTGATGTTTGTGCTCCCCTGAGGCAGAAGTTTAATTTGAAGTGAAACAGCAACTGTAAAATACTTTTATGTAGCTCCTTCCTCATTAGCACATGGTACAGCTCAGTCATAAATAAGATTCTTTCCCTTCCCTCCTATCCTCTGCCTAATACAACAGCAGTGTTGGCTGATAAGCTGAAACTCCGTTTACACGAGCCCCATCCTGAGTGCCTGATTGAAATTCTCCCACTGTAATATCAGTCAGTGGAAATGTTTAAGTGCTATTCCCTCATCCTATCTGGGATAATAAGCTGCAGTGTTCTCTGGCATTACAGCCGTCATTCTCCTCTTTCAAGCAAGTAGTTTGGCTCAGTCTGAGTTTGTTCCTGCTAGAGGCAGCTCTCATTTTGTGGACTAAGTTCCCTGTACTTCCAAATGTTTTGCAGAGACCTTCTCTCCCTGTAACCAACATGTTGAAGTGTGAGAGCCCCTGATATTCTGCAGGCTGACTTTAATTTTTGGTGAATGTGTTACATATCATGTCATAGTTCTGGAGGGGGTTATTCACATACTAAGATCCACTGTTTTTTTCTTAATCTGGTCCCTCCGTATTAATAAGGTACCTCCATGTTTTTTGATATAGGGACACACAAAAGCTCTCAGTGCTGATACATTATTTTACCTTAGGCCTAATGTCTTGAAAAAACTGATCGGACCTCACCTCTAGACTCCAACAGGGACTGCTGTTATTGAATCGCCCTGATTACATTTCTAAAGGATTGTGAAAACAGTTTATTACTCTGTATTTACGGCGATCTCCTTTACTCCGATCTCTCTTCCCTCTTGCCTTTTATCTCCACATCTCATCTTATTATTTCCTCAGCCTTTGTCTTTAAATCACTGATCCTCCATGTTTTTATTAGCTGACTTATCCCCTTCATCTATGTTCCCCTAACCTCCCTTTCCTCCCTTACAGAAGCTCCTGGTTTTGTGACACTGGACCATAGTCTACGCTATTACCCCAGCATTACCTACGGTGTCATCGGCAGCGCCATCATCTTTGTCCTGGTTGTAGCCCTGCTGGCTTTGGTGCTTCATCACCAGAGAAAACGGACCGTCCTCCTTACAAGAAATGTGAGGGGGAACACAAATCATCATCAGCCCCTCCTGCTGTCCCGTCTGGTCATCCTGGATCGGGGTCATGTCCATGCTGGAGGTCCAGGTCTCTCCTCTGGCTCAAGCAATCCTACGGGCCAATACAGCTCAAGCCCTCAAGCCTTGCATCTGCTGTCCGGCACCGTGTATCCCTCTTCAGTTTCCTTGGACCTCCCTCCTTCATATTCAGAATCTGTTCTGGATGTCAGGTACCATGTCTAAGTTATAACCTTATATCTTGTTTTGGGGATAGGTGTGGTTAGGATATTTTTTTTTTTTTTTTTGAAGAAATTAACAAACCAACCAGAGAAATAATATAATCTTAAAAGGTTTTTTTCAAAAAGTTTTTCTGCACAAAAGTATAACATAATAACCATTTTACCCCGTGGAGCTTAGTTTCAATTTATTACTATGATAATTAAATCCTTTAATCTCTTGTGTACTCAGTTATTAAACATCAAAGAGGAAATTGGCAGCGAAATATCTGCATTATAAAGACATCAGACAATAAAAAAGCCTTTGATGAATGACCCTCTTTTTGTTTTCATGTTAACATTTGATCTATAAAAAAGCAACATTATGGTTTCCTGAAATAAATTCCTCATATGGACTATTGTTTGAGTTAGTGCAGCTTTTTATAAATTTTTATATATTAAAAAGTCTTGGTTGTAATATTTGCAAAGTGTCTTTAAAAAGCTCACATACTGCTTGAGGTTTTATCCCATACTTTCCCATTACAACCATGCATTAGATTTTGACATTGTATTTTGTGTCACATAATAACACAAAGTGTTGTATATTTGTAAAGTGGAACCTAAAAAGGTGGAAGGCTTTTTAATTTATTTTTTTAAATATACAAATGCAAAATTGGGGTGCATTTGTATTAAAAGATAGATAATACTTTTAACTGATCAGAAAATGTTATTATATCCTGAGGTTCTGAGTTCAAGCTCTCCTCCCATAGACTGCCACTCTTGTTCTTTGAGCAATAACCTTAACCTCACACTGCTCCAAGGGCGCCCAACAATGGCAGCCCACTGCTCCCCAAGGGGATGGGTTGAATCCAGAGGTAAATTTCTCCAATGTGAGATCAATAAAGATCAATTATTATTAACTATTATTATTATTATATGTCCTTGCTACATGGATTGTATGAAATTTTAAGTGCCATTTGTATGGCTTTTTTCAGCAATTTCTTCTTTCCAGTCTTCCATTATGCCAGGTTTAGGGAGTACCTGACTGTAAGTGCTCTGTCAGTAGATTAGTACTCTTGAGGTGTGGATCTCTGCATCTCCTCCAGAGATGAAATGGTTTTCTCTGATTAATTCCACTTGATCTAATTAAGGGGCTAAATATCATTAAACACTAGGCTATCTGCAAAAAATTTAAAAAGCAACCATGTATACATTTTGTTTCACTTCATATCTAGATAGTATCTTTAAGATCTCATGTAAAATTTTAAAGTAAAAAAATTGGAGTTGGTTTTGAATGTTAGAAACTATATAAAAATGTATATGACATGAACTCTTTGTTGTGGAGAATCACTGAGTAAAGTCTCAATGTGCTATTTTTTTCCCTAGTCGGCCTCCTTGGTTTGATCTTCCCCCTCCACCTTACCTCAAAGATGGGGAACTTTCTTCAGAGGGAAATCTTCCTCAGTACGACACTCTCCATGAGGGTGTGAGTCCTCCCACAGCTGCAGACTCTGATCCTTCACCTCCTAGAACGGGACGCCTGAACTCACATACAGGTTCCAGCCTAAGAGAGGAGACAGACCGGCTGTAGCCCCTGTTCTGTAGACTGGTGGGACAGGCAAACAGCTGGACTACTTGTTCCAGCTATCAAGCTGTATAAGACTGAAGGACAATTATAAATTAGGACCTTTTGGAAGAGATTCAGAAGAGCTGATCAACTTTAGCAGGGTCTCAAACTGGCTGCCTTCACATCAGACTGACTGTATGCTTGCTCCCTCTGCTGGCATAATAGCTTCATTACACTTTTAGGGTGTCAGTTCGGCTAGTATCAATGTCACTTGAACGGTTTCCTCCTTGAAGATTTGGTATGTACTATTCTTATCAGCCAGAAGGTTTCTAAGAATGAAACTGTAATTTACCCCTCATCTTTGCTGTGATACACTTCTGATTAGCTTAGTGTAAGTTTTGCAGTATTTAAAAACACTCCATAATATTTCTTATGGCATTTTAAGTATAACTCCATTGGTTTTAGTTTAAATTGTTCAATTTCCAGATATCAGGAAAGATTATTATTCAGCAATTTCCTTACATCCTGTTATGTCATATCATCAGGGGAATATGCAATAGGACCATTTATGTTTTATCATACAGTATTTGTATTTTATTTTCTAAAATCATTCCTCTAAGCAGGACGTTGTTTAGAAGCTTTGTCTTCATTCCATGTCTGCTGGAAGACCACCAGGGTTCATAGGCAGTCCTGAAACAGCTGAGAGAGAGGGACATTTTTCTTTTTCCAGGTGCAAACAAGAATGTTAAGAAAAAATTGAGATTGGCAACATATGGCCGTTTCTGAATTTGTACTTGTAAATTTTCCTGTGCTCGTGTACTCGAAAAACATCATCAGCCTTAGCCCTAGTGCTGTTCCAAGAA